ATTCCACATCCCAGGATAATTTCACATATTGGCCTTCATTTCGAGCATGACATTTTGTGCTTTTTAAAATTGTATTTCTAAGTTTATAACCTTTTAATTCTTCTATTTCATCTGACATCAATGTTTTAGATATTTTCCCCCTCCAACACACTGATTTCGATGAATGTGTCGTTATCAGGCTTCTGCAGAGCTTGACGACAAGCGATCATTTCAGAAACACTGATCTAATCTGTCTCATACTGCATGTGTGGTTCTCCTTTATAGTCTCGTCAAGCCAGATGTGACAATTACCTGAAATCTAAGGTTTAGATGGCAGCGAAATTCACTTCTGACAATGCCACAACCATGCTTTTCTCCAGTTCTCCTACTTTAATATATACCAGTAACACATATAAAGCAACACCTAGCTAGATAGAAAAACTGAGAGACTGCTCAGTTTTTGCTAGATTGTAGCTAATTATTATCTTGTTATATTTATTATTACTTTAGTGTTTTTTTGCCATCTTGTATGTATGAGACCTTGTATCGATTTTTTTCAAGAAACCCTCAGTTTACTGAGGAGTCACTATATTTCCATCGACAGCTACAACAGTATCTTATGTCATGCTGTTTAAATTCAAAGAAATATTGTAGGTAGGGAGATGTCATTCTGTTCTGTTGTCAGTTGCCTGGGTTGTATGTGCACCAATGTCACACTTTCTGTGCACTTGGAAAGTAGTGACAGTGATTCATAAGGGCTTGAACACATTCATATGTAGAACAGTGATCTTTGATCATTTTCTCACAGGGGCTGCAACTGTAGATTAAATTTTAATTGATGACCAGGAGCTACAAAACTGCTCAAGCTTCTTATTAATGCCGTAGGTTACAGCAGCAGCAACTACAGAGACTTTTTTCCCCTCTTTCTCCAGCTTGCTCCATTGTGCTATTGACTGGTTGACACTTCTGGCCCATGGCCAGCAGTATCTTCATGCTCGTAGAGTGCATTTTATACTTCCGTCTCTTTGAGCCTGTTACTTGACAGCTATATTTCAGTGAGGTCCACATAAGTGTAAAGGAGTGGTTGTCAGTGGTAGTGTGACATTGTACAGCAATAAAGGCTGCTTGTGGAAAACCATCTTAACCCAGATATTTTTTGAGCATTTTAATCCTCTGTTACCTGCACCCCAAGTTGTGATTTGTTAGCAGTCGACATCTAAAACTTCCAGGCAAGCTAATGGCATATATTTGCTTGCATGGCATTTCCGGAAAGCTCTGAGAGGAAGTTCAATCACCAACTCTGCCTTACCTTGTTGCCTTTGCAGAGTTGCTTTGTATGAGCAGAAAACAAGCTGAAGCTCCCCATCAGCAGCACAGCGAATCTAGGGGCTTTAAATCTGTCAAAGCTGCATCAGAGCATGGTAGTGTAGCCAGCAGCATGTAGACAGGCAGGATTTATAACTTACTATTTAAATGGATGCATCTCCTCATGAGTGCTTCTTCAGTGGGTTATGATGAGTGCAAAGTGCAGAGTTTAAATATTTTCTGCAACATTGCTTGTACTGCATGAAGCAGAGACAAACAATTAAGCAAACGTGATTTCTTATGGATTTCAAGCCAAGAATGAAAGTTGACACCGTATTATTTGAGTTATTTTCCCTATGAAATGGCATACCACTTATTAAAATTGACACTGAATGGAACAAGAGCAAGTAAGAATGATGCTTTAAGAATTAGATTTCAGGGAAAACAGTGTAGATACAGCAGCAAGTAATATTTAGAAGCAGGTTTAGGACTGTAACATTATGTTATCCTTATAGAGCTCGGCCTCAAAGTCAGCGCTCAGTCAGTCTACAATGTCCACCCAAGCTACTGTAATACACTTTTTGTGTAGTAGGAAAAGCAAAGGGCATAACTAATAAAATAACTCATGGCTGGAGCCCCAGTTCTGGTGTCAGAAGCCATTCCAATTTGCCAGCATGCACAAAAGCAGGGTCCTGGAACTGACACTCCTAAATGTAATGCAGCCAAAATTAATGTGATTAGTTACACCTGTGTTTGACACATCCTCCATGAGAAAGGTCTTATCCTTGTGCAGGGTGGAAGTAAAAGAATGGAGGCTACAGTATCACCAGAAAGGCAGAAATCCCCCACTGTTTATGTATTATCCTTCTCAGTAATCTTTGCATTTTCTAAACATGATCATATGCAGGCCATATTCACAAAATATTCACAAACCTTATTTGGTTTATCTTATTCATCTTATTTAGCTGAGCTAGGAGGCTGGGATCCATATTATGTGGGAGCCGTAGGTGTAGAAACTGTTACGAGGTGGCAAGTCAATATTAACCTTTACATTTTCAAACCTCAAATATCCTGAAAAAAGTAGCTACATTTATAACCTCACTTTCTTTAGATTAGGCTCCAAATGCAGTTGTCTTGGTGGACCAACAAGACAGCCTACATACTCTCACATCTTCTGTGTTTGTGCTTCACACAAGCATCTGTTGGATCCCATACTCTCTCTCCCATTTTCTTTTTTTAAAATCACTCACTCACTACACCGGCTTCTACTGCTGGAACAGGAAAGCAGATATTTCAAACAAAATGTTAGTGTGAGGTTTCTCCTCCAAACTTTAAATATTGATCTTATACCATTAGAGTCTTTTTATATTTGCTCTATCAATACCTGACAGAAGGACTCTGTAGCAGCTAGTGAAAGGTGAGGTTTATTGTCGTATTGCAGCTTTTGATGCGGGAAGGGGGATAAAATGCTAATATTGGGCAGCTATTGATCTTAGTCTGCCACTAATATGTAAAATACATGAGGGAGCAGCACAGCATGGGTATAAGTATATGTAAATACAATGTGGCCATGCTCATCTGTGTTAGATTAGAGAATCTAGCTGCAATCTGATTGAAGCACTCCTTATCTTTTGCACACAGAGTGAAACACACTTATCACTGACAGTGCTTTCATGGACACCAAACATTAGTGCATGATTAATACATTATCTATTGTCTCCTTCCCCTGCTATTCATTTGAGCTTTAATAAAATGTGCTTGCTTGCATAACTGCCCTACAATCGAAGGTAATAATACAAAGAGAGCAGACTAATGAGTAACCTAATCCTGCCATCTTATTTGGTTAATAACATGGATCTTGTTGCTTGAAGATAGAAACATAAGATATTTATTATGAGTGAAAATGTAGAGTGCAAAGTGAAAGAGAGTGTCATAAGTGGATTTAAATAATGTAGTAATGTTAGCATTGTTGTTAGGCAGGCAAATTATACTTTTTAATTTCAAAACAGTAGTTGCTGTTGCTGGGCAAACAGTCTCTCATCTGACAAATTTTGTCAGCTGTTGAAAAAGTCCTCTTACACACTGAAGATGTTTGTAACAACTTTAAACAACTTTATACAGGCACTTTCTTGCAGGTGACTCAGTAATCCAGTTCTCTGACCTTTCCATAGGGATTGTTGTCATTTAATTCAGTGTCAATTTTGTCTTTTAGCTGGACACAGTAAATGTAAAACATGTATTGCATGTCTAGACATTAACAGTGTTTGTCTCGCAGGGCTATTTCTGCCATTCCATAGCTGTCATAGCATGACAAAAACTCAGCTTCTTTAAACCCGGGGTCCCACATAGTCATGGTCCTCTACTTTCAAAAACCCTTTGCAACATGGAATAAGTGCGGTTCAATGTTGTATCGACCTGCTGTATTTTAAATTGTGGTACCTCTGGCTTCTCTTTGGCTGTGTTGCTTGATGTAATATATCCCCTTTATGAATGCCTGTATACAGATGTTCTCCACCTCTGAAGTTTGGGTAGTGGCCTTTTACCACCAGGTGCAAATATGGGAGGACGGAAGATCCTGCACACTAAGGTTCTATCTAAGTATTTAATAACAAAATCAAACTGTTGGTTACTATTGATCTAGGCCTGTGTATGTTTTCCAGTTCTGGGGTTTGCTGTAGTGACATTTAACATCCAAGTTCAAAACTATGGCTAACATATAGCTGCCCCCATGATGATGCCTCACACTTTGGCTCTGCCATTAGATGTGACTTTGACTTCAGCAATGTGAGCTGCTTTGTTCGTTTTAGGGAACATTTTGTAGTGTTCAAAGAACAGCGGCAGACTTCATGTCCGCTGTGAAGTAGTTGCATGCCAATTCCAGATCAGTGTGCATGTTCATGGAGGTCCATGCAGCTACCAGCAGAGACTCGGCTTACCTCAAGTGCCTTGATCCCATGGATTTTGGAAGTTGGGTCCAAACTAGCCTTTGTTCTCTGGACATTGTAACAAAGAATATCATGCCAATATTTTAAGCTCAGCCCTCACAGGTGTTTCCAGTTATCTGATCAGACCTTTATCGGATTAGACCTCTGTTCAGATTTCAGATAGCTAGAGCTACGCTGCAGGTAGACCTTTTTTATAGCAGACATTTTGACTTGTGGCCGGATGAAAGCACAGGTGTACTTAACATATATGAGGGCACTGCTCCATTTAGGTGATCCAGTTCTAGGACGCTTGTATTGTGCATTCTGGCTCACTGACATGACTTACTGGGACACTTAAAGTGGAATGGAGCCCTTATTAAGGTGTTAACTTTGCACCTGTGCCTTTCCTGCTATGGCACTTCAAACGTCTACAGAAGTAATAGTTAGTTACAGAACCTAATGCACTAATACAAGATAAAAGCTAATGTCAATCCCAGGCTTTCCAGGCCCACAATCTTGAGAGGAGGTCTAATCAAGCACAGTAAGTGAAAGCATCTGTGTGGGTGGACCATGGGGGAGCTCTAATAGTGTGGAGAGGGAGAGTTTACTTGTCAATGAGACACAATCAGCTGGTTAGCTAAGGCTGGGGCTGTATTTATTTATTTATTATCATTTTAAATGCAGTGTTGCCCTGCTATTAAACAGAGAAGCCCACCTGCTCACAGCTCTAGTGCGATGCAGGTTTTCGCCAGTAGATGGCAGTATCCAGGGGAAAAGTGGAAAATGGTCCAACTGGAGCGGCAGCGTGGCAACAAGTAAGGCAGCACAGTCCCGGCAATAGAGAGGTGCTTTGCCGGTGTTCATCCATCCTCTGGTCCTGTTTGTAGGTAAGAAAGTGTGCACAAACCTCCAACACACGTTTATTTTCTGTCAACGTGCTGCTCCGTAGTTTATACGCAACAGGATATTGGAAAAACGAGATAAGCTAAGTTAAGCTAACTTGCTAAGTTAGCTGACGTTTTTTTTTTTGTGAAGCAAACAACTAATCGATTAAGCGAGAAAAAGAAAGGCAAATTTAGCAATAATTGTTAATGAAATGGTTAATTAAATATTTGTTAGTGTTACAATGTACCGTAGCTTAATGTCAAAACTTTTAAATAGACTGTAAAGTCACAAGTAAGGGGTTTTTAGCCATTTAGCCATACAGGTCCTGTAAATGACTATACTATTAAACAGAAACGGACCAAATATGGTTTTCATATGCATTACCTTTATTCAGGGTTCCCACACTTAAACTGGGATATTTGGATACTAGTTTTCCAGTCAGTAAAATGACCTGGAAATATCCTGGAAATAACACTTTAGACCAAAAATGGGGTCCCATGTCAGTCAGAGGCGGGACAAAACAGACTTGCAGCAAACTTCCTAACTGTTATTTACGGGCTGTGGCCAAATTGATGTTACAGACTGCAGCTCCACTCCGCTGAGACCACGGGGGAAGGAAGATTGGCTGCGGTGAGAGCAGCCAAGCGTGCCACGAAGACGTGTCCCATGAAGGCTGACCCCCAGTTGAGAGCAAGGGCTGTCCTGTATCGTGGAGAAGAACTAGTGAAAATGTCCTGGAAATGTCTTAAAGAAAGTGGGAACCATTTTATTGTTATGTATCCAAACAGTTAGTTGCACTCCCGAGCTCTGATTTATAGATTTAGTTGTTTTGGCCCTGCGGAGCCTTTCAGCTAGGAAAATAACTGCAGTATGTTGCTGTGAGGGAAAATGCAGTTTGTGTATACGTTCACCTACTCCACTACATCAGACAGCACAGCAGTGCCTGCAAAATATCGATTGACAACAGATTATGTACCTGTCATAGCCCTGATCAATAAATCAGCAAGGCCATGAAGAAAATCCCTGTAATTTATATCAGCCGGTTGTCCTTGGCTCTGTCTGTCAACCAGAGTCAATGAGTTCTGTCAAAGACCTGCTTAAGAAATATATATGGCTAAACTTGAGTTGTTTTTATGGCATTGGGCCTTTTTTTTTTCTTCTCCGTACTTTCTATTGTTGTAGATGCTGAACAGCTATGTTGCCGAAGAGATTAACACCACGAGAGCAAAAGACTCAGAGCTCATCTGCTTCACAGATGAATCTCAACCCAGTTTCTTTATTGAAGGAGATGAAGCTAGGCATACCAGGCAAAACTGCGCCAGTCGAAAGGCTTCCTTCTTCTCTGTCTTTCTCGCCTTTCTGTCTCTTGTCGCTCTTGCGTCTCTCTCTCTCATAATTCTAAAGCGCGTGGAACTGATTCTGAGTCACATAATTTAATCAACACCAGGATGAAAAACCTGTCTCTAAAGAAGCTTTGCTAAGTGGAAAACTCTGTGCTTGACCTGCTCCCGTCCACGGTGCGAGTGTAAGCTGATCAGACGGATGCCGTATGCGGTAGCTGCATCTGTTCAGTGATGTGTCTGTTCACTTCTGACTTAGTCTAATGGGATGATGATGAGGCGACCTGGAATATGAAGCAGCCAGTCACTGAGATAAAATGATCAAAGAGACACAGCTGACAGGGTCGTGACACCTCCTCAAATGTATGTGCGCATTACGTGCATTTTGCCCACTCGTGTCCGGTGTACAGGAGCTCTAATTCCACAATCATTTAAATGAGGTTATTAAAACATTTATGACAAACCTTGAAAGTGCAATGTATGAATAATATACATCTCATTAAACTGAATATTCGCGGTGAAACTCTGCTTTAAAGAGCCTGTGGAAGCACACTTTTTATATTCTGTTTCTGAGATGTGATGAAAACCTCCAGTTTCAAAGTTGCTACCAGAGGCACAAACACATCGGAGCCAACGATATAAAAAAATCAGGAATTTGTCTCCTCATTTCTTAGTATACCATATCTTTTTGTGCTTTCTTAGTTGCCATTCATCAAGTTTGGCTATTACGTATAGCTCGCTGTGTATGATGAAACACATTGTCTGCTCTTAGCAGCGAGAGTGGGAATACACTGTACCATCAAAACAGCACACTCTGACCCACATATTGGACTCATTAGCCTCTAGCTGAACCGCACACAAACAGCACAGCTCGCAAGAGCTGCACCAACAGGTGATCTTAACTGCAACAGAAATGTTGCAGTTAACGTGTTTTGAGATACGACATAAGGAGTGTATTTTCTCCCTGTATACAACATGAAGAGAGAAATACCTGAGATGATAATAATAAGCTTTGGTTGACAAAACACATCTGTAATGAAACTCTTGGATTATGCTCTGCGTTGATAGATGTAGTCACAGTGTCTCTGTAACAGTAACCCATGTGTGGGAATTGATGGATTGCATTTCCCATGTGAAAAAGCATATGTATTGCTTTTCTGAGATTTATGTCATGTCATCATTGGAGATGCAGAAGAATCCAATTTATGCCTGTCTTGGTTGTTTTCTATTCATCCTTTGTTCACCTGACATCCACAGAATGATTGAGGTGAAGAAGAAAGTGCAGAGAATGCGGAAGTCATCGTCTCCAGTGGCATTTCTAATTAAGTTAAGAGTTTTCACGTTGCTGAACAAAACAGTTATTTGCACGAGTTGAAAAGCAATTCTCTTCACATAGATGAAGAGCCCATTGAACAAAAATCCACTCTTCTGCCTACTTCATCCCTTGTTCTACGGGGCTTTTTTAGGATATCATTATTTAAACTTCATCCATTATCAAGTGAACAAGTTGTTCTCTTTGGTCTTCTTTGCAGTCCCAACTAATATCTTTCTTGGTGTGATTCTTCTCTCCCTTCTAGATGTGCAGTGCCCATCGAGACGGTGGATGTCACGTGGTCACTCCTATGAAGAGCAAACTGTGTGGAACCCAAAGTACTGTGTGGTTGGTGACTGTCAGATGCTGCTTCTGAATGAGGAGGAGGTGGTGAGATCAGACACTACAATCTCTTGTCTGTCATGTCCTTCTGTGTCACCATTGTCTTCCTCGTCTGTGCCCGTACTTTTCTTATTGTAATTCTTTTTGTCCTTGTCAGTTTAATTTAATTTTACTTTCCAATCTCTCCCCATAGCTAGCTATTATATTTTTATAACTTTTTAGTTATAATATAGTAGTAAAATAAATATAGCTTAGAGGGATTAACTCTCTTAAATTCATGCTAATATTATTATTTTTGTCACATATTATTTGGATAATCATTTGCTAATGACTGCAATGCCAAGTGCAAACTGAGTTTCAGGCACAATTCAGTGAAACTACTTATCACTGAGAGGCAGTGACAGTCAGTCCACATACCCAGTGACCAGGCTGGTAAAAAATGAAAGCTAATTATCACAGCTCGACTGCTACATCGACAAGATCATCCAGTCTTATCTTATTGTAGAAATATTGGTATCAGTATATCTCCGTCAACAAGAAGTAAGATCACATCATCTTGGTCAAACCAGAAAAACCATATCTAAACGACCCGTGTTAAGATTGTTTACGTTAAAAGAAATGAAAGAACAGTATCGGCCATTTTGAACTCCCAATACCAATATTAGTAAAGGCATTAAAGATGCAGTATCAGTCGGGCTATAATAATAATAATAATAACTAGCTATCGAGAAGCACAAGCTCCTGAGTGAATCTTGTGTTGTGTGAGAATTCATTCTACATTTAAATTCATCCCACATCAGAGACCAACAATACCCAGGTTATGCAGAGCAAGCCGAGTCTGGCTCTTTGCCTCTGTTGTTTTGATTAGCGTCACACTGGATTCACATGAGATCAGAGGCCCTGTTGTCAGGAACAAATCAGGAGTCAGCAGGGTAATCTAAATTACATTGTTCAGTCTGCAATATCCTGTCCTGTTTAACAGCTTTGTGTGCACTCACTTTCAAACCCCCTCATGCTTTATTAACTGATATATATATATATCATAATACGGCAACTATTTATGAATAAGTTAATAAAAAAAGTAATCTGTCTAAAAGCAATGAGTTACAGTTGTTAGCAGTTGTGTAAAACAAACAAGTTTAATAACAGGAATGTGCAGACATGATATAAGCATAATACCGCAATACGACTCTGTTACAATTTGATGCAGTAATGTTGAATTATTGCCTAGCCCTGCTACTCCCCATTAATACTTTAATACGGCCAAAATATGCTGACCCTACAGTGCCGAAGATGAAGGAGGTGCAGTGTATCAGTCACAAAATGTACTGTGGTTTTGTTGTACCGGGTTGCACCACATGGCCTAGCTCTCTCTCTCTATGTACAGCCTTGCATTTTGTATTTCAGAATCGTTTTGTTATTAATCGTTTATTCATTAATGATTGATCATTGCTTAAAAGTATCCCTCATGCAGACTGTACGTGACTGACCTATACCTTGCTGAGTCACTTGGTGTAATTCCTTCATTACCCCTGCGCTGAACTTTCCATTCAGTCCATTCAGTCCACAGCTGCTTACAAAAGTTTCTACCATTTCTGCATACTCCTCCTGCCCTGGATGCCAATAACTCACATTAGTGTGTGTGGCTGAGTCTGCATTGCACACATGAATGGCACAAAATTATATTTAATGTTCTATTGCAAGAGCTGTTTGTTTTCCAAGGGATGTGTAAGGTAAAAAAGTCCAACCAGGGATTCACATGAGAAGTTTCAGCTAATGCTACTATCGGAGAACCGTCAGCAACAAATTCAATTATAGCTTCCTTGAGGAATTTCTCAAAGCCCTCTTCTATAATGTCTGTGGTCTCAGCACAGCAATAAGGAAAGGACACGCCCCCTCTTAGGGAGTATAGCATCTTTTGAAAGAACACTTAAGACATGAAGGCTCTGTTTCAAAGTCACAAAAGCACCTGGACAAAGCATAGTTTAGCATTTTTACATGATTGCTGGAGCTGGGGAGAAAAGTCTTTCTTTGTCTGCAAGTACTGAGGTATGCAATGTTGAAATAGAGCGAGCAATAATTGCAGAGAGACATGATTTGAATCGACCCATTGGCAGCTTTTCCACCACAGTGCTTTTTGTTTCATAACAGCAAAGAACAACAGCTTTTAAACGAATCCATCTGGAGACCCAGACTCTGAAAGGTCATCTGTAACGCTGCTGGATTGCAATGTCAGCAGACGGCAGGTCAAAACGATGATACAGTCGTATAATGGCTTGCTCCAGATGAAGGTGTCATGGCATGGACAGATAAACACAATGGATCAGAGCATCCACAACAAACACACTTCTAAGAGACATATATATGTATATATATATATACATATATATATATGTATAATATGTATATATGGGCGTTTTGCCTTTATTAGATGGGGCAGCTGAAGGTTGACAGGAAAGGTGGGAGAGAGTGGAGGTGATACGCGGCAAAGGGCCACAGGTCGGATTTGAACCCATGGCCGCTGGAGCAAGGACTCAGCCTTTGGTACATGGGGTGCCAGCTCTATACCAGGTGAGCCAGGGATGTTTGTCATGGCAGTATTAGGTTTTCTGTTATTTCAGCTACTCGCCTACATTTACCATAGGTGGCCCTCCATGCTTGTAAGTGCGGCATCATCAATAATCATAAGTCAAAGAAATGATTCAGAGGAAGCCTTTAACATGTGAAGAACACCAATTTGTTCTCGTTGTGCTTGTGGTGAAATGTATCTGCCAACATGCAATACACAATGCAGCACGTCTGAGAACAGTTGTGCCTTTTAGAAATCATTCAGCTTTAGCCCAATTAAAAATGAGAGTAGTTTGAGTTTGCACATTGGCTTCGTTTTGTGAAGCTGACACAAAACATTTATTTCAGTGCCACTGAACTTTTTTTTGTGATCGTAAAATAAATTGATGTATTAACTGGAGTATGCATTTACATCTTTAAAGTATTTGTCTTTATGCACTTTTTGTTTGTTTGCCTGTATATTCCTCCATTCCATACCACCACGAGCAAACACTAGAGTGAACAAAAATGTAAGGTTTGAAAGTGAGAGGAAAGAAAAAACAGAACTCCCTGCACAACAGTGTAATTGATTGTTGGTTGTGAAAGAGTTTTTGCTGTAGGGGCTTTAGTAAACAGTCACTCTGTCTTTATTCCTTTGTTTCTGCCTTTTTTTGTTTTATCCCTTTTTGTCTTGTTTTTCTGTTTTTATTTTATTGTTGGATTCTTTTATCGTCTCTTTCTTCAGACAGATTTTCTCTTCAGCCAGGCCTATCTCTATTTCCCTGATAATCCTTTTCTTGTACTCTGGTATGTTATAAAAATAACATAGAATTTAGGTGCAGTATCAGCGTGAACAGTTGATTGATTGTCTTTTGTAATAGAATGTTTACTAAATTATTGTGTTGTTTGCCAAAGGTAATTTCTGTAAGAAATTCGTAAGACAAATGATGCTACCACAAACACAAAAAGATCCAAAAAGGAGGAATTCAGTGAGTGAAAACAGGAGTATGCGAGAAGGGATTACAATTTCAGCATTCAGCAAGTGTGATGCATTGTCTTGAGGGCTGCAGTATGAAGGTATTAAAATTGAAAGAGAGGTCTGATTCCAGTGGGGTTTCTGGAGTGTGGATTTAGCGAATTGTTTGACCTTCAGCTTGTTCTGAAGCCTTCAGTTGTTCCACAGGCCCTCTCTGTAAAATGAGTGATCAAGTTCAGCTCATTTCTCTAATCTACATTTGAAAAGCTCCACATGACTGCCAGTAGAGGGGGCTCATGATTAAAGACAAAGAAGTTATTTATGCTCGTGTCAACAGGCAAAAAATTCCTGCCGAACTGAGGATACTGGACGGGGCCAGTGAGCAGTGTTTAAATTTAGCCTCAATTCAAGTGGGCTTTGCCGTTTGCTTTAATGCTGTAATCAAATCAGTGTTTACGTCCATGGCAAAAGCAATTATCTTAATTGAATTAGCAGAGAGTGAAAAGATACATCACTGTTTCCTGTTTGCCATATTTCTCCTCTGTTAACCCTGTCACGGAAAAAATATTTAGGTTTTTTATCTCATCAGAACGATTGCAGTTTTATAGTTAAACTTGTTTAACCTTTGAGTTTGCAACTGTATCTTATCTTTTCTAGGTGTCCTCTTAATATTTCAGGCATTTGAACGTAAGTAATGCTCACCCTCCAAGTACATTATCACTTAGTTTAATATTTCAAGTAAATAATTGGATGAGTGTGGGAATTAATTGATTATTAGATGATGAATTATAATAACGCCACAGGCTATACTCCAATCCCTGGTCAAGACCAGTGTTCCTGGAAGCCAGGAAGAATACCCTGGCCGTCACAGTACGACACTGTATATATCTGAGACCGAATTTGTTGCAGTGAATAGTGGGTCTCAAATTACAGCTCATCATGCTTAGTCATCATGGCTCAGACCACCAGGCATTGTCTGTACGTCAGAGGTGGTGTCAGTGAGAGCTGTCCTTAAACCTGAGTCCCATGAGGCAAGTAAAGAAACCGAGAAAGACAGAGAGATGAACAGACAGACATGGAAAAAACAAGACAGACAGGGTGCCGCATTGAGTTGAGAGGTGTGAGGATGTTCGATAAGCCATTATCACTCCTCTTGGACGACACCAGGCTCTTTCCCTTTTTTTCTTTTAGTCACCACTTTCTCACCAGGGCCATCCTTTCTCCTTTGTCTGTTTAATCTTTCGGAGCCAAACATTTGGTATGCAAGCTATAGGAAGATATGGGCTGACACAGACTGATGTGCGGCTAATGTCTGTTCTGTTTCATCCAATGACTCCTCATTTATCAGCAGCTCTAAAGCTTTTGTGCTCTATTGGCCCAACACAGCATTAAACATGGTGATCACAATAACCACAACATAGATAAGGAGCCTCGGTGACTATTGTATTTCTAGCAGCCACGATTTTTCTTCTTGTTAGCTTTCATTCTTCCTCTGAACGCTATCTACTCTATGTGCCTACTTTCTGTCTGTGCCTTGTGTTGAATTTATTCAGCCTTTTATCTGTCTTGAATTTCTTGCTCTATGTCTCTGTCTCCTTCTTTCTCTCTCTTTCTCAGCAGATCCGTCCCTTGTTTTTACAGGAGAGACACTCTGCGCCATGCAAGGTCCATCTTCTGCGGCGCACTATCAGCGTTCCAGTGGAGACACAGTTTCCAGAATTCCACAGCCAGCTGTCCACTGAAAGCGGTGAGTAGCCTGAAGACATACCTCTGCAGATATCAGGATGCTCACACTCACTCACTCACACACACACACACACACACACACACGCGCGCACACAGCCAGACATTGGGAATACTTAAATAGCTTTCTTGATTTCATTTAATTAAATTAAAATGATTAATAGCCCAGAAATCAAATATTTAACGCTTGCTCAACATGGTTATAGACAAAATATTATTCATTATTAACACTCTTTGTGGCTCTGCTCTGGTTTTGCATTCTTTATTCCACAATCTTCTATGTCCAAGGCTGCTAGATATCAGCTCAAAGTCAAAATGACTTGTTCTGTACAAAGGTCAAATGGGCAATGTAATTCAAATGCAAGCGGTCAAACAGTTAAATATGCAGGTGAGCTTAGTGTTGCTCACATCCCAGGGCAAACCTTTACATTTATGAGACTCTTTTCTTCTACGTTATAGCCACTAGATGGAGAGCTTGCTGCTTCATAGCACTTCACTGCACCTATAATGCTTCATCCTAACCACTAAGACAGACACTGAAAAATGTTTTGGTGTCTTTCAACTGGCAGGTATCATGTTGCCCTTTACAGCAATGTAATGCCTGTAATATAAGACCATTACTTTCTGGATGTGCCAGTGTGTGCACTTATGTCTGCGGACAAGATGGAGCAGCTCAGTAAAAGCTAGTGTGGATGTGTCTGCAAGGATGAACACACAGAATCCGTCAAAATGAAACACTAGGTGGCACTGAGGTTTGACATTCAAGCGTTTGTATCCCACAGTTACCGTTGCTGGGTTGTTGGCTGGCATGCAACCTAATATGACCCACCTTTAAATCAGCGGGTGCAATGGTTGTTTAATTGAAGTGCTATTTCATGATGTCATTACAGTACAGTACAGAACATTAAGTAAAGGGTTTTATATTGAGACTGTGTTATTGGAAAGTGTTGTTGTATATTTTCTGGCTTACCAATGTTGTTTAATTATTTTTTTCACAAAGATTCTTGCATGGTTCTTTGTGAGCACTGTGATTTTAGTGATGCTTTTATGTACTAATTAATTTCAATTAATTGATTAATTAATCACACTTTCTGCACACCCTCTATGCCCAGGATTTGTCACAAAGGTTTGACAGTGATTTCTTTACCAACCTTTGACCATTAGAGGGAGCCATTTAGCTCTGTGTTAATAATAAAGCTATAACTTTGCAGCACTTACAGCATTTACAGAGGTATTTCTTAATTGCTTAGTGTACACGATGGACTATATTTAGAAGAATATTCAGTGCCCAGGTCTCAGGTTTCTTTTAGTTAAATCAACAAGTCATGTCATTTGATACAACTTTGTTTTGGGCACTCGTCTCTTTCCGTCATATTCTATATCTCCCAAGTGGGATCGCATTCTTGTTGCGAGTAAGGGGCCGGATGATGAGACGAGCAGAGATGTCCTTCTGTCTCCTCAAAGCTATGGCTGTTACCCAGCATTCTCTGCATAGCACATATTTGGCTTTAAAAATACAGGGACCTTTTTTTTGCTGTAAGTTCAGCGCTGACTCACACACACACACACACACACACACACATATCAGAAAAAAGCAGAGGAGAGTTTTGAATGTGTGCATCCCATTTTGTAATCCATGTTCACTAATACAAGTGATGACATGATGATGAGAAAATGGCGCAAGACACATCATTACGCTGCCTCTTTGATTAGGCTGGCTTGTTTATCTGAGAAGAGACGAAGGCTAAAAGAATAAACACAGGCTGCCAGCTAGTTCGCTAATTACAGGGTACCTTTGCAACTCTGCCAGTGACATTTGAAACTTTTCCATGATGATGATGTAAGATCATTTCTGAATTGCTGATTCACATCCATAGTCAGGCTACATTTTTCTGCATGTTAGCTAGAATACATTACAATACATTAATATATTACTGCAGTGGTTATTATGTCAGCCATTTAAATATCTAATAATCACAATAATGTTATACAAGCTGTTCTGTCACCTTTTAACCAAATGAATATTCCACAAATTTATATTAACAAGGCATGAACCTGCTGTTGGGTTTGGATTTGAATTCACTGGTCACCAGAAATGAAAGATAACATATAGGAGCATTTATAGGTCAGAAACAGCATTAAATGGCTACTATTACAGAAATTCCAGTTGCAAAAATATATCTGATAGGATAATGTAAAGTTGTTAATAAGACAAGCATAACTAAGACATTAAATGCATGTTTTAAATGTATTTGTGAATCACCTCTTTTGATTACAAGAATAAAATCCCAGTTATCTTTTAAAGAGAGCAGCAATTACCTATAGAAGTATAAAGATAATCTTCAATAAGCACTAAATGTAAAGCTGATGAATATTGCCTTGGTATATTAGGCATATATGTGTATTGGTGCTGTGGTGAGAGCTAGAGCTTCATTAAAACACACTCACTGGCAAAATACTATTTCACATGAACAAACACAAGTGTTTGCGTCTTTAAATACCAAATTGACAGAAGGGTTGTTGTTAAATTTATCCCCCAAAATCCAAACAGTATTACATGTTCTAGTCCCCTCTTCAGTTTCTAACCTTTAAAACTGCATTTGTGCGTGTGTGCGTGAGCACCTGTACGGTTTTCAAATCCGGTTCTTCATCACTACACTACAAACACTCACACGGTCTATGTTTTACTAAATTATTCATTGGCGTAGGCCCCACCTGCTCTTGTCCTTGTGTGACACACGCTCTAAATAAGCAGCGTGATGAATAAAAACTACACTTCGATGAATAGGAATCCACAACAAATCAGAGGGCGCTCTCATCTCGTCTCATCCTCCGACTGAATAGTGAGCGGCTGCCTCTTCTGTTCTTTTGAACTCGACGAGGTTTTGGCACAAACATGCTAGAGACGGAGAACGCTGCTACGCTTCCACCCGAACAACTACGCTTAATTTTACTGAGGTGAAAGTTTTTTCTGGATGCTGCTTTGGAAAAAGTTCTCATCTCTCGGTTCTTTAAAGATGCTGGGGCATATGCTGCCCTATTTTCCAGTTTTTACTTTCTCCATAAATATTTTCACTGAAGCTGTAACACTTTAGATAGGATTAAATAGAACTGGATAACTGACCAAAGGGTGGGGAATGATTTTTGCATGCCTTGTAGCCCAAATACAGCCTCACATGGCGTTTAAGTATCTTAACATTCCCAAAGTCAACCTCTCTCCTCCGAGTTTATAATTACAATTAGCTATCATTATCCAGAATGGTATTTGTTGAATCTGTGCCAGTCACCCCAGTCTATCCTGCCAACACACCACTAAGTGATAGATTATTTTGCCTATTCACTGTTTTGTCTTACAGTTTTTATAGTTGAACTCAAAACATCTCAAATATGGGTAGCTATAATTTACCAAGATCCTTGGATAGTTGAGATTAAAATCATTTCAAGGTAAAGGTTGGCTGGGCTCCATTTGACCGTGTTATACTGCTGAAAGGACAAGAGCGGCATGAGTGGCATGTCAGCCAGTTGGACAATTGCTGAACTAGAAATAGGTCAATATAAGGATGGGCAAAGTTAGAATTAATATATTAAACTGCTGTCTGTCTTCAACCAATCTAACCCAACTTTAATTTCCTTTGACAGCTTTTAAGTGATGGTTTTGGATCAGCATCTCTGGTTTGGGTTTTTTTTAGACAAGGCGTCACTTTGAGTTCTGCGAAATTGTGAAGAGCTTTGTTTTTTTTACTTTCAAAGGACTAAACAATGTTTTAGTTGCTGCTAATGTTCTTGACGCACAAGCTATCAATTCAGGTCAGCTTAAGCATCGTGTGGTGTTTAGTGTGCCAAATTGAAATGAGAGAAGAAACAATGCCCAGCCAGCACAACTCGGTCAGGTTTTTGAGTCCACCCATTGTTAACACCCAGGCTGCAGTACTACATAAGGTCCTTAATTCTCCTGGCATGTTAATGTTTTCCAAACTGATGTTACTAAGGTCTTGTTATGATGAGAAAAAAATATGCTGAGAGTATAAAATTGATCAAAGTGGAAACATTCAGCACTGCCACAACCCTCTCCACCCATATCTCTCTCTCTCTCTCTGCTCTCTCCGTGCCACCACAATGTGGGAAATGCTGTGCTCTCTCTCTCCTCCCGTCCCGTACCTGTGCTCCGTATACTCTCGTGTCTTCTTCGTCCCTCTCTCTCTCTCCCCACTCTCCAGAGAGGGTTTCATTCAGACAGATGTAACACAGTGGTAGAAGCCTGAGCTGAGCTGGCAGGCTGTAGGGGCCAGACCAGAGCCAGCAGCTCTGACTGGAGAGAACAGCGGAGAACAGACGGCAGTGGCGGCGGCAGTAGAAATAAAGCGGTAGTTGTAATAATAGTTTCAGTAGTGGCAGTCCAGTTACAGAGCCGAGTTTGCCTCAGGATATGGGTATGTTGATGTGGGCACTCATCACCCTGTGAATTTAACCATGGACCCTGACACCAGCACCCATCCAGAGACACAGCATGGTGAGTGAGATTTGAAGCAGCAGGGTGGGAGGAAAAGATGAGAAACGATGGAAGTGATACTGTGGAAAAAGTTGAAGAGCATGTTGGTGAACAAGGGAGTCAGGTCACATGGTTTTCCCGTTAGCTTGCTACTATGACTAGGCTCTCCATTTGGCTCTTAAACTGTTGACTGGGGCCTCTGTGGTCAGATGAATAGGACTTCAGTCTGTTTTGTTGGGTAGGGGGTTAAGCGGTGAGGGGTGTTACATGGCAATGTGATTAAATCAACAGCCTGCTAATATAATTTTGCTCTAATGACCTGTACACCAACACTTAAACAGGGTTATAAAGTTTCTGAAATAGTTGTAGCGAAGAAAGTTGGAGAATGTCGAATGATGTCTCTGGAATTTGCCTTGTCTGTCTTCTGCCCGGCTGTTTTAGTGCAAGCTTTGTGGAGCAGGAAGCTCTCCTCTTCTCCTCTGGAATAATTAACGGTGGCACATGCGAGGACTGTG